CACTGCCCCAGTCCCCAGGCAGGCGGCAAGGCGGCACCCCGAGGGCAGGAAGGACCAGGACGAGGACGAGGCAGACCTCGGGGCGCCTGCCCCCTGGGCCTCGGGCCTCCCGCTCTGTCTCACCCTGCCGCCCGGGCCGCCTCCCGCCGTCACCTCACTCGTCCCAGCGCCTTGGCTGCCCATGGCCACGCTTCCTGCAAGCTTCTGCTCCAGGGCTTCGCACTTGCCGTCCTTTCTGCCTGAAGGACTCCTCACCCAGGTATCTCTCTCATACTGTGTAGGTCTTGGCCAAAGTCTTCGGGAGGCATCCCGTCTAAAGTTGCAGTCTGCCATTGGTCCCTGTACTAGTTTTCCGTGTCGCAGTTGGCTCTGTCTGGCATGCTGTGTGTTTGGACTGCTGCCTGGGCACGTCCCTGTCACAGTGGGGGCTCCAGGAAGGAAGGGCCTGTCCTCTCATGCCCATAGCTGTATCCTAATGCCTAGGTCAGCTGGACGCTTGAACCAGGGATGACAGGGATGGCGCTTCCCCAGCCTCCATTTGTTTAGGCCAGTGCCTCGAAGTGAGGCCCTTGTGCTGTTGTTACAAGGGTACGGGGACCCTAGGAAACGGGTTCTTTCTGAAAGTGCTTTTGATATGCCACTCAGGAGGGCCTGGGCCTCTGTGCTCGGCCCCAGATCTATCTGACCCCTGCGTTCCCAGCATGGGGCCTCTTCTCCTGGGCCGCTGGGGAATTCCTCCCTGTGTCAGATGCCCCTTCCCCGAGGAGCCGCACCTGCTCTCTGGCTCCAGGGCAGCTGTGATGAGGTGTGCCGTTGTGGAGGCTGGAGGCGTGGGGCTGGCTGATTTGGAGGCGAGCCCATGAGTAAATGTAACCAGCCTCGGAATGCAGCCTGCCTTTGGGTCTTGTCCAGGCAGGCCTAAGTTCCTGGCCTCCTGCCAGCAGAGCCCCCCAGCACCTGGTCTTTCAGTCTCGCCTGCCAGCAGATGGAATCATCAGGCCCTTGTTTGTGCCTCTGAGGCTGGAGCTGGGTGGGGACCTTGGGGAGGTCCTGTGGTGGGGGCTTGTCACCCAGTAGGTCCAGGCCATGTGGGAAGCCAGCTGTAGTGTGCAGGTCTGAGGTCTCAAATCACTGGGGCAGGTAAGGCCCCCAACTCAAAAGACAACAAAGCGTGGAATGGTCACTAAAGTGGGATGGTAGTGTGTGTGGAGTTCCCATAGCTATGCTGGGCCAAGGCCAGGAGCCAGACCTTCATGGGGCTCAGTGCCCACTGTGAGGTGCCCAGTGCTGACCACTGGGGCAGCCATGTGAATGGAAGGGTGATGAGCGAAAGGCCTTGGTAAGCCTCTAGCATCATCACCTGTAAACCCACCCTCCTACCTTTTTTAACCTTTTCATTTTGAAGTGATTTCCACAGACTTAAAACTTGAGAAAAAAACAGAACAAAGATCTACAGTGACCTTCACCCAGTTCCCACACGTTAACAAGCTTACCCAGCTACAGTAAAATGATCCTGACCGAGATTAACACTGATATAATACTAGTAACTCATCTACAGGCCATCCCTGAATTTTACCAGTTGTCCCACTAATAATATTTTCCTGAACCACGTTCCAACCCTGGGCCCCACTCCCACACTGCGCTTAGTCATACTTCCTTCAGGCCGCTCCTCGGTCCTTGACTTGAACATCTTGACACTTTTGAAGAGCACCTACCAGCCTTTTGGTAGAATGCCCCTCACTCGGGTCGGCCTGATCTCTGTGGTGACAGTCAGGCTTTGCCTCTTGGGAAATAACACTCACAAGGGATGCTGCCCTTCTCAGGAGGCCCGCAGGACGGCCCTTTCCTTGTGCGCTTTTCCTTCACGAATGTGCAGCGCAATGCACCTCGCTAGAGTGTACACTTTTCTGACTTAGAGTGTGTATATATTAGCTGGTGACATGGATTACTTGGTTAAGGTATCTCAGGTCTTTTTCCACTGCAGAACTACTATTTTCCTTTTGCAATTAGTGTATTGGGGAAAAATTTTGCAACTGTAAAACAAAAAACTTCCACCTGTTCGTCACACTTCTGCCCAGTTTTTCCCATTCATAATGCTTGTCTGACACAGCTATTAGCTGGCTTCCAAATGGGAGGTTTTCCATTTCCATCTTCCTTCTACATTTATTGACTGGAATTCCGGAAGGATGAGCTGTCCTCCTCCATTTACTTTGCCCCCTGTCTGAGGCTCCCGAAACGGTATGAACAAAAGGAAAAGTGCCAGAAGACACCAATAAATGGAAATACATCCTGTGCTCAAGGATAGGAAGAATTAATATTGTCAAAATGGCCATCCTGCCTAACGCAATCTCCAGATTCAATGCAATCCCTATCAAAATACCAACAGCATTCTTCAATGAACTAGAACAAATAGTTCTAAAATTCATATGGAGCCACAAAAGACCCTGAATAGCCAAAACAATCCTAAGAAGGAAGAATAAAGCTGGGGGGATTATGCTCCCCAATTTCAGGCTCTACTACAAAGCCACAGTAATCAAAACAATTTGTTACTGGCATGAGAACAGACCCATAGATCAATGGAACAGAATAGAGAGCCCTGATATAAACCCAAGCATATATGGTAATTAATATACGATAAAGGAGCCATGGACATACAATGGGGAAATGACAGCCTCTTTAACAACTGGTGTTGGCAAAACTGGACAGTTACATGCAAGAGAATAAAACTGGATTGTTGTCTAACTCCATACACAGAAGTAAACGTGAAATGGATCAAAGACCTAAAGTTTTATGACTGTAAGTCATAAAACTCTTAGAAGAAAACATTGGCAAAAATCTCTTTCTCTTAGAAGAAAACAAAGCAAAAATGAACAAATGGGACGGTATCAAACTAAAAAGCTTCTGAAGCTTCTGTACAGCAAGGGACACTCTCAGTAGAACAAAAAAGCATCTATAGAATGGGAGAATATATCTGTAAACGACATATCCAACAAGGGGTTATCATCCAAAATATATATAGAACTCAACACGCCTCAACACCCAAAAAGCAACCTGATTTAAAAAATGGGTGGAGGATCTAAACAGACATTTTCCAAAGAAGAAATTCAGATGGCCGACAGGCATATAAAAAGATGCTCCACATCACTAATCATCAGGGAAATGCAAATTAAAACCACAATGAGGTATCACCTCACACCGGTAAGAATGGCCAGCATCGAAAAGACTAGGAACAACAAATGCTGGCGAGGTTGTGGAGAAAGGGGAACCCTCCCACACTGCTGGTGGGAATGTAAATTAGTTCAACCATTGTGGAAAGCAATATGGAAGTTCCTCAGAAAACTAAAAATAGAAATACCATTTGACCCAGAAATTCCACCCAGAATTTACCCAAAGAAAACAAGTTCTCAGATTGAAAAAGACATACGCACCCCTATGTTTATCACAGCACTATTTACAACAGCCAAGATATGGAAGCAACCTAAGTGTCCATCAGTAGATGGATAAAGAAGATGTGGTACATATACACAATGGAATATTATTCAGTCATAAGAAAACAAATCCTACCATTTGCAACAACATGGATGGAGCTAGAGGGTCTTATGCTCAGTGAAATAAGCCAGGCGGAGAAAGACAAGTACCAAATGATTTCCCTCATTTGTGGAGTATAACAATGAGGCAAAACTGAAGGAACAAAACAGACTCACAGACTCCAAGAAGGGACTAGCGGTTACCAAAGGGGAGGGGTGGGGAGGGAGGGAGGGGGTGGGGAGGGAGGGAGGGAGAAGGGGACTGAGAGGTATTGTGGTTAGTACACGATTGTAGGGGTGTCATGGGGAAGGCAGTGCAGTACAGAGAAGTAGTGACTCTCTGGCATCTTACTGCACTGATGGACAGTGACTGAAATGGGGTGGGGGGGCTTGATAATATGGGTGACTGTTGAAACCACAATGTTGCTCATGTGAAACCTTCGTAAGATTGTGTATCAATGTTACCTTAAGAAAAAAGTGACATAATTAAACAACTAGAATAACCATCACAAATAATGGCAAACTTAACACACTAAAAGTTTTGCAGAGCAAATCTAAAGGGTGTTGCCAAGAAATATACTCTTTACGAGTTAAACAGATAAGTCTTGTATATATAATGATATATACCAATCTTCAGATTATTGAAATGAAGCCTTTTACCAAAAAAAAAAGTGCCAGACAGTTGGGCATGCTCGTCTTTCTTTCCTAATGATTCCGTTTAAGACTTTTAAATGGAAAATACATAATGCCTGCGTGTGCAAGGGCTCGTCAGCAGCGGTCAGACCTCCGCTCCCGGCGAGCGGCCGCTCCCAGCATTCCCCGCACTCCTCCGCTCCCGGCGTCCCCCGCGTTCCCGTTCCCGGCGCTCCACGCGGCGAGCCCCGCCCCGGCGGCGACCGTTAGAGCGGCCGCGGCCTCCGCGCCTGGTCCCGCCCACGCGCCTGCTCTATTGGGCCGCGCGCCGTAGCCGCGAGCGCCGCGCGCCGCCGATTGGCAGCCTTCACAGCCGGCTCCGCGGTTCCCCCAATGCGGGGCTGCCGCGCGCAGGGATTGGCCGCGCGCCGCCAAGGCCTGCCCTCCGCTCTCCCCGCGCGGCAGGCGGGTCTCGCCGACCGGAGAGAGCCCGGGCGGCCTCTCTAGGTGGCGGCGGCGGCGGCGGCCGGTCCGTGAGGACCTCCCTGCTGTGGCTGGGCTGCGGGCAGCTCCGGCAGGCCGCGGGCGCCGAGGTAGGTGCGGGGCGCGAGGGGCGCCCCGCGGGCCGGGCGGCGGGCGCTGCGGCCTGCGCGAGGGCGGCCCTTCCCCTCCCTCCTTCCCGCGCCGAGGGCCAGGGCCGGACGGCGGGGCGGGGCGGGGCGGAGGGCGCGGGCGGGTTCGGCCACGCGGAGGCCCGGCCTTTGTGAGGCATCATGGCCGCGGGCCTCGGAGAAGGCGGGGCGGGGGTCCCGCCGTGCGGGCGCGGGTGCCGGGGGCTGGGGCCCGGGGGGGCCCCGACGCCGGTCGCTTTCCGCCGGGTAAGCAGCCCGAGTGTAGAGGCCCCTGGCACTGTGCGCCCTTTGCCGCAGCGTCTCTTTCAGGCGGGAAGTGTGTGAACGGGGGTAGTGCTGGCCCAGGACGCTGCCGGCTGTAACCCAGTTTGTGAAATCTGAGAAGTCGCCCAAGGCTTTTTATCCACCTCATGCTCCTGGATTGAGGGTCACAGTAGATAATCGGACTGTGGTTTTGTTGTAACAATGATCGTGTTAGAAATAAACGGAAGGTGGCAACCTGTTGACAGTGATACCTGTCAAGTGTCATCCGCGGACTTGGGTTGCTCATGGTAGGAATTTCATTTGCCGTTTTGCATGCTTGCATGTACCTTGTTACCTGATGCACGGCAGAGTCCAGTCTAGAGACCGGCCACTAGGCGGGGACGCTGTGTTTCCTGGCTGCAGCCTGGTCCCCAGTCCCGGGGCCACAGGCAAAGTGGCCCGAACCCTCCCGCGGGCCTTCACTCGCCAAAGGGAGTGAATGGCCGGTCAGCCGTGCGGCCTGTGCGCGCGGGGTGTGAGGCTCATCGGAGTATGACAGAAGGAGTGGATGAGGTCATACTGCTCCTGGGTTGGGCGGGAGGCTGCAGCGGGAGAGGCTTGACCGAGAGGCAGCAGTCACAGCACGGGACCGTCACAGCCGGCGCCTCGATGCCATCGCAGCAAGTGGACTACAACGAAGGGCGCTGTCCAAGCGTCTTGGTTTACCCCTGGTGCCAGGGATCCAGGGAAGCCTGCTGTGAGTCTGCTGCTGGCTCACGGCCCACTAGGCAAGCAAGGTTTGCATCTGTGCGTCCCATCAGCTGAAGCAGTAGTGGGGCTGATGGCGGGAGAACCGGGCTTTGAGCCCTTTAAGGCCAGGCGCTGTTGGGGGCACTTCTAGGTGTTGTCTGATTGTCTGACTGTGACACTGGGGGCAGGAAACAGGAATGTGACTGGTCACCCAGTCTTGGTCTTGGTAGCTCCCCTCCCCTCCTTGGTGGCATCCTGCAGCTTCCTGGACCTTAGTGCTGTTTCCGGCCTCTCTGTTCCCATCCCTGGCTTCCCTCCTGAGTTGCTGCCTCTTCTGCATTTCCATGTGTTGGTCTGATGTCAGGTAGTCACAGCTAAACCTAAACGCAGGTCTTTGCCCACCCAGACTCCCCTCCTACTGCCTGTGCTTGAGTCTGGAGTCACCTGGACTCCTCTTGGGCCTCCATGCCAGCTTTAGGGCCATTTCCTACCGCCTCCCGCTCAATGCGCTGGTCCCAGCCGCCTGGTCAGCCTCTCCACTCTGCTCTTTGTTCCCCCCTTTGCCCCTCCCCCCTATCTACCCTCCACGGTTTTTCTGGACATTTTAAACTGCGAGGTAGTGTTGGAGCCACGGTGGTGCCCCCAGAGCCGGCACGCCAGCGGGCAGAGCAGCCCCAGTGCTTCCTAGCTGTGTGGCCTTGGGCGGGTTGCTTCGTGTCTCTGTCCTTGACCTTCCTCTCACAGCACTGCATGAGAGCGGGTGGGGGGAAACGCGTGGCGTGCCTCACACAGCCTGGCTGAGCATTGGCTGCCCCTGCTGGCCTTGCACCCTCCCACCTCGCTTGGACCCTGCTGTCCCGCGGCCCACCTGTCTCAAGATGAGAGCCAAAGCCCCGGTCTCCCTTGCGCTCACTGACCCGACCTTCTCTCACCTGCCGCCGCACGTTCTCCGTGTCACCTAGCATGTCCTCCCTCCCACCCCGCCGCTTACCGAGCTCACTCTGCCTTGAGCTGGCCGCTGGCCGTGAGGCCTCTGAAGCTGTCTCTTCTCCCCCAGCTTCTTTGTTTTCTCTTGAACACTTAGCTTTTCTTAGTGTTTACTTGCTCATCTCCTGCTAAAATATGAGCTCTGCGGGGTAGGAACCCTGTCTTGTGTCGTCAGCATCTGGAATGGGCTGTGTGTGTCCTGTGGAGTGTCGAGCAAACACTTGTTGAGTGATTGGGGAAAGCTTACAGAGAAAAGGAAGGGCCCTGCCCAGGACTGCCCCACGGAGGGGCACTCAGCCTTGAGCTGCCGCCCTGGGGCGTTTGGGAGCCTCCCTGTGTACCTCCTTGGGTGCCGTTGTGAAGGCTGCCCTCAGTGTGTTAGCATCACCGTCTTTGCTTTGTGCTTCTACTCTGGCTGCTTAGCCTTCTCACAGTACAGCAGCACCATTTGCACCCCCTCCTCACATCTTCAGTTTTGTTTTTAAGCCCCGGAATCATCAATTGGCTCTCATTAGGGACTTCAGGCCTGCCAGGGGCTGAGGGGTGGGTCCTGGTCTTACCTGAGTTCTGAAGCCCTGGGCTGGCTGACTTGTCTGTCCTCTGAAAGGATCTTTCTTGGTTGCCAGGAGACCGACCTCACTCCACTTGGGGTTCCTCCTGCCTGTTGTCTGCAGCCCCCTTAGTATTTACTATGCAGCTCTGAGTCCATTGTCTACGTGCTCTCTTTCCTCCATCCATGGCACCTATGTGGGCACACCTTTGGAAGGAGTTACTGTGTTAAATTCACACTGAATTTAGAAATGTAAGGGCATCTTAGAATGTAGGAAACAGAGTGACAGCTCCGTGGTCGTCGTGTTTCCAGTGTGTCCAGGCGGCAGGGACCTGTTCCCTTGTTCATAGTAGTGCCTCCGTTAGAGTAGATGGTTAGTGAATATGTGTTGAATGAATGAATTAAATCTTACCAAGTCTCTGGTTTGTATGCTGTTTCCTCTTCTAAGTACAACCACCATGCTCTATCCCTACACTATAAACTTCTTAAACGTGTGGTATGTTGTCCTCTGTCCATGCGGCCCGTCAGTCTGCCCCCTGTGGGTGTGGGTGTGCATGTGCATATCTACACATGTGTGCATGTCATGTCATATGTGTATGTTTCTGCCTGGTGTTGGAGTGTATGTGTGTCTGCACGCACTTCTGCTCTGGTGCCTGGCCCTCTTGCAGCCTCTGGGTTTTCAGATTGCCCCTCTGACCTGCCTCGTGTCATCCCCTTTGTTGTCCTTCCTCTGGAGCAGAGCTTCCCAGACTTGCATCCTCAGCCCTTCCCTTGTTCTGTGTTCCCTCCCTGGGCTGCCTCTCTGCTTGATTTTGGGGGTGACTACCACCCTGCTGGTGTGTCCTGGCCCTTGGTCTCTGGGCCAGTCACAGCTCCAGAGCTGTGGCCTCAGCACCTGTCGGACAGGGTTGCTTGGGTGCTCTGTCCATTCTCTATGAGTTCCTGCCTGAATGCCAGACCATGTGCCCCCCAGGGGAGAAACCTCACTTGCCTTCCGTTCCCTCTTATCTCTTCTTTCCACCTCTGCCTGGTCAGCAGTGCAGCCAGTTCTGTGTCTTCACTGTTCTCGAGGGTGCCAGCCCTGTCACCAGGGCCTCTTTTACACCTTTGCCCTCTGGCCTTGAGGACTGGCTTCCCAACACCTTGGGCACAGGTACTGTGCCTGGCAGAGCTGTCTGTCGGTCTCCTTTCAGTAGGTACTGAATTATGGCATGAGAGTCACTTGATTGCCTCCATGGGTCCTTATTGCCCCCAGTGTGGAGCTAGGCTCCAGTGGCACTCAGGTCCCCCTGTCCCTTGGCTCCAGCTATCTCCTGCCACTCCCCCAAGCAACCCTAGCCAGGCTCACTTCCCCACGCCATCACCCCCTCCTCTGCTGGTAACAACCAGCCACCTCTGGCGACCCTAGCTGCCTCACTGTCCTGGTCCGCATGCCACCTTGTGGGCCCAGGAGAGTCCTGGGGTCCCAGGGTAGCAGAGCACCCGGCTGTCCCTGCAAGGCCCTAGTGCCGCAGAGTTGAGCTGAGGGTCTCATGCTCGCCCCATGACTGACCCAGCCCCAGCAGGTGAGTGGATCAGTGTGGATCCGACGGCCAGCGGAAGGCCACATGCTTTATGCGTGTGCTGGAGAGGGCAGCCTTGCACCACGTGCTTGCTGACCTGACGGATGAGTGCGGGGACTGCTGTGCTGAAGCATAGTTTCTTTCTTAAGCTTTTCTGAGCCTTAAGATAGTATTGGTTTTGTGATGCTGAAGTGGGAATTACAATTATAGATAATTAATACAATATTTAACTTTGGACTTAAATTATAATTTAGGTTCTGAAGAAATAAATAGTTTGTTTTGAACCGTAAAAGGTTCTCTTAGGCAGTATTATTAGTTTAAGTTCTTTACTACACTGTTAACAGCAGTTAACTCTTGGTACCAGGGAAGCTGGTTTCCCTCCTTTGTGACGATGTTTTTAAATCTCTTTGCAGGTGGAAGAAGAAAGGTGCCATTTTGGCATGAAGACAGACTCGCTTAGTCGTCAGTCATTTAAGCTGAGTGCATTGTGATTTCCAATAATTGAGGCAGTGGTTCTAAAAGCTGTCTACATTAATGAAAAGAGCAATGTGGCCAGCTTGACTAAGCCGCCAGCGTGCGCAGCGCGGGCAGGACGGCACCCGGGTCTCGACGGACTTGTGCATGTTAGCTGTATAGATTTATGTAAGGTTTTTTAAAACTCTGGTATTTTAAAATAGTCTTACCCACTTTTACTATGGAAACATATGAGAGTCCCTCTCCTCTCCCGCGTGAGCCCGCAGGAGAAGCGGTGATGGAGACCCGAGCTTGCCCCCTCCAAGCGCTGCCCCGTGAACAGTCTCCACCACCTCCCCTGCAAACGTCCAGTGATGCAGAGGTAATGGACGTTGGCTCTGGTGGTGATGGACAGGCCGAACCCCCTGCTGAGGACCCGCTCAACTTCTACGGAGCTTCTCTTCTCTCCAAAGGATCCTTCTCTAAGGCCCGCCTCCTCATAGACCCGAACAGTAGTGGCCACAGCCCACGCACTGCCCGGCACGCACCTGCAGTCCGGAAGTTCTCCCCTGACCTTAAGTTGCTTAAGGATGTAAAGATTAGTGTGAGCTTTACCGAGAGCTGCAGGAGTAAGGACAGGAAGGTGCTGTACACAGGAGTGGAGCGCGACGCTCGGGCGGAGTGCGGTCTGGCCCTTAGCCCTGTCGGTGGGGGCGTGCATGCTTGTCCCTTTGGCGGGAGTGTTGGTAACGGGGTGGGCGTAGGGGCTGAGAGTGCTGATAAGAAGGATGAGGAGAATGAGCTGGATCAGGAAAAGAGAGTGGAGTATGCAGTGCTCGATGAGTTAGAAGATTTTACTGACAATTTGGAGCTAGATGAAGAAGGAGCAGGCGGGTTCACTGCCAAAGCCATCACGCAGAGAGACAGAGTGGATGAAGAGGCCTTGAACTTCTCCTATGAGGTATGTCGGTGAGGCCCCTGGGAGTGCTCTTAGCAAAGCCCAGAATGGTGTTCGGAAACTGCAGCATCTTTTCAAAACTGATATTGCAGAGAAAAAACCCAGCCCACGTGAGGTGGACTAGTGTTCCTGTGGAAAAGAGGCGGCTCTAAGGAGCCCAGGTCTTTGGACTTCCCTAAGAGAAGTTGGGTGCGCTGGTTAGCGTCATGTCCTCTGTCCAGCCTGAGGTGGCAGGCACTGCAGAGAAGCGCCTCCTGGTGGGGTGTGCGTCTATACCACGCGTGTCAGTTTCACCCGTTTGCTTTTCAGCTGATTATGCACCATAAAGACACACCTAGGCCCCCTGACAGCACCTCGTTTCTGTGTCTTTTCTCACTAATGCTGTTACGCTTGCCTGAGGTGCAGGAATGGGGGTGCTGGGGGCCATGGTGTCTGAACAGCATGTTTTACAGGATGATTTTGACAATGATGTTGATGCTCTGCTGGAAGAGGGCCTCTGTGCTCCCAAAAAGAGGCGACTGGAGGAGAAATACGGAGGTGACAGCGACCATCCATCTGATGGAGAGACAAGCGTGCAACCAATGATGACCAAGATTAAAACAGTGCTCAAAAGTAAGCTGGCCAGAGAGGAGTGGGCGCACGTGGGCAGCAGAAGTGTGGTCTGGGAGCCCTCGGTGTGCCAGCTAGCTGTCTGGGCTGTGGTCACCTGTTTGGGGGTGGGGGAGTCCCGTCTGATGAAGGGGAAGCAGACAGGACAAGGAGGCAGCAGGCATGTGACAGTGCAGGTGCAGAGAGGTGGTCGTGTGTACTCTGGGCGCTGCAGAGCGATGGGGAGGGGGCAGGGGATGGCTGTGGTGTGGGCTCTGCAGCGTTGGGGAAGCCCCTGGCAAGGGACAGGTACACAGGTTTGGTCTAGAAGCCTGGCTCCTGTGGTGGCAGGGCCAGAGCTCCTGCTGTAGGAGTGGGTGTTCCAGGGGTCAGGTGGTGAGATTTGCACTTGGGTTTGGGGACAGTGGGGAGAGCCATCAGGAGGTGCCCAGAGTTGTGCCCAAGCAGCTCCTGCTGCTGTGGTGCAGGCCTGATAGGGGTGCCTATGCGTGTGCAGTGGAGATGTGGGGCGGCTGGGCAGCAAAGAGGGGCTAAGGAGACGTGTGGGGACTTAGGCCACCCAGGTGGGCCCCAGGTCTGGGCACAGAAGGTACCGAGTCCTGGAGGGAGGAAATCGAGGGGTAGGTGGTGTGCACCGTCCTGGGGCTGCAGAGTGAACGTATTGGCAGGGCTGGGCACCGTGCATCTGCCCGTGTGGTTAGTGTTTGGAACAGGGCAGGTGTTGGGTTCATTATCTGCTCACGAGATACACCTGGGGCCTGGCTTCCAAAGAGGGGTGTGGGGTGGGCTCTGCACCTTGGGAGGTTTGCTGCCATCTCACTGTGCTTCACTGCTTTTATGTGGCCTCAGCCATCTTACTGTGCACAGGGAAAGCCCGGCCGTGCCACCCCTCGGCAGCCTCTTCTCTGCCTTCTGCCAGCAGGGCTTCCTCCCTCCCGGGAACTGTACATGGGCCTCATGCTCCAGGATGGCGTGTGAGCTCTTCAGACAGCCAGGATGACGTTGTGACTCCTCACTGTCAAAATGAGCGGCCCAGATGCACCTGTTCCCATGCTGTGCTTGGCTCGCATTTCACCTGTTTCTTCTCCTGACTAGCCCAGAGCTGGTGCAGGGTTGGTCCTGGGCCGAGCCCTTGGGGGCCTGCCAGGCGGGCGGCACACCTCAGCCTGCAGCGGTGCCCCGGGGCTGCCTGACACACCGTCTGCGCAGGATCAGCCACATGCAGTGGGGATGTGGCACTGAGGTGCCAGCCCCGTTGCCGTGATAGTGCGGGGCAGTTGGGGCTCCTATGGCCAGGATGCTCACTGAACTTAAACCATCGATGGTAAAACTGGCCTGTGGCTGGGCTGCTGCTTCACACCCGTAGGCAGTAAGCTATCATTGCGCTATACCGAGAGCGTGGCCCAGTGCTCCGGGCATAGGCAGAGGCTAGTGCTCGACGTACCCCCGGGAGAACACGCTGAATAAACCCTTTCACCCCGAAGAAACGTTCTACTGTCATTTCTTTGGTCACACTGAACCCACAGTAACTTGTCAGGGGCTGAAACCCATTGGCAAGGCAGATAGTCACTGGTGCTTGTCATGCACATTTTTTTAGATTTCCCTTTTTTCTTTTTCTACTACATTTTTAACTTCCAAAACCTCTAAGAAAATGAAGTGTTAATTAAATCTCAGTGTTGTGCTTTTTCTGGCAACCAGGCTTGTCAGTTGCACGTGTCAAGTGAACTACAAGTCTGGAGCTCTTTTCTTTGACTCCTTGCACAGCAAGGGAGGGGTTGGAGGAGTGCCTTACAACCGAGTAAGAACTGTACTCGTTTGAAGTGTTCTGTCTGCTGGTGAGCGCATGCAGCTCGGCTGCCAGGAAGACTTGCCAGCTGTGCTGTTGACTGGCAGAGCTTACCAGCCCTGCAGGTGCCTCTGGTCGAGGCAGGCAGGTGAGGACTTGAGTGTCCACAGTGCTCACCGCTGTGGAGGCAGCAGCTGCGGCTTGGGCCCGACTGTCTCCGGCTCCTCCATGCACCACATGCTGCTCTCAGCCTGGGGGTGCAGCATTGAGCAGGGCAGACAGCTTCCTGCTGCCCAGGAGGGATTTAGGCCCAAACAAACAAGTGCAAGCATAGAGTGCAGAGCCACACACGGGAGGTGCCGAGTGGCAGGGACAGGCTGTCTGGTGGAGAGCGGGTGCTCCCCTGCTCCTTCAGCACTTAGGGGTTCTTTCCAAAGCTCGGTCGGCTTCACTGCTTTTATCTGCCTTGTCATGATTCCTACAATCGGAGTGTTTTTAAAGTGACTGCAAGATGTTCTTGTCTTCTGTGCAGGTCGTGGCCGCCCACCTACAGAACCGTTGCCTGATGGGTGGATCATGACCTTCCATAATTCGGGAGTCCCCGTGTACCTCCACAGAGAGTCTCGGGTGGTCACCTGGTCCAGGCCTTACTTCTTGGGAACGGGAAGCATACGGGTAGGGGACACATCAGTCATGCAATTAGTCTTGTAAATTTACAGACCGAACACGCACATCTCAGTTGCACTGTAGCCAAGCAGAGGCAGGTGGAAGGTATCAGATGATCAGACCTTTGGGGACATCCTTGTAATCTGTGTTGCAATTTCATTATTCACAGAAACACGATCCTCCTCTGAGTAGCATTCCCTGTTTGCATTACAAGAAAATGAAGGACAATGAGGAGAGGGAGCAAAACAGTGAGCTTGCCCCCAGTGGGGAGGTGACCCCTGTCAAGCCCCTGAGCCGACCTGCGGAGCTGGAGTTGCCCCTGGAAGAGCCTGACTCTGTGGGTGCCAACTTGGGGCCCCCAGATGAGAAGGATCCGCTGGGAGCTGAGGCTGCCCCCGGGGCTCTGGGGCAGGTGAAGGCCAAAGTTGAGGTGTGCAAAGACGAATCAGTTGGTAAGTTCAGAATGAATTCTTTTTCCCTGCTGGGAGGGACCTGTCTGCAGGGCTGCCGCTGAACGCCACACCTCTTTTCTCCTGCTAAAGGTGTTGTAGTTGTGTCTGAGGAAGGGATGTGCTGAGGACCTCTGTCCATTCACATGGCTGGACTCACGTTTCCCTGATTTTAGGAGCACCTGCTCGGGGCTACACGGCCCCCAGGGCTGGGGCTGCCATGGAGGTGGCGTGTGGTGGTGTTTTCATTTGCAGTGATGTGCTGGGGTGAACCTCAGTCTACAGACTGAGCGCTGGGAAACCCTGCCACTCTCCCGTGGGTATTTCCATCTTAAGTCCCACAGCTGCTTTTTGGACATGTGTGGGTGTTTTACACTCTGCAGTGTTCTTAGCTTGGTTCTATCCATTCAAATCTTCCTTGTCTCTTCAGTGGTAGCAAACCTACTGAATGCCTTTCAAAAAGGACTTTGTATTTCTAGGGTTTTTGAGTGTTTTGCTGCCCAGCCTGCCCCAGAGCTCTTGCATGCAGGAGCCCTGATGCAGAGGGAGGGGCGTGGCCGGAGCCTCAGGCGTCAGGGGCAAGGGTGGGGCCCTGCACTGGTGCCCAGCTCCCCTGACAGGCTCAGCAATGTCTGCCTACCTTTGCAGCTTCCCCATCCATGTGGCCTTCCTCTGTCTGCTTTGGTGTGTTGGGCTTTTCTCAGGGACCAGCCAGAAGGGGCCTTCTCTTTAAGACTTTAACTTAGTGCTTGCTTTCTTTATGCCATCTTCTATGCACATGTATTACCTGAATGTGTTCCTGTTTTTCTAAAAATTCTGTCTCCCACTTCTAACTTCACTCTTTTGCGAGGTGACCACTTGTATTTGTTTCCAGACTCACTTCTCTGCACTCACGTAAAGAAGTACGTGGTTTTGGTTTATGATTAAGTAGGTGCAGTTATGTTGATTTGCAGCCTTCTGTTTTAACTGCATAGGTCTCAGTCTTCCCACACAGAAGTCCTTCCTCTGCCTTCTGCCCAATCTGCTCAGTGCTGGGCGTGAGCCAGGGCAGACTCTGTCTTGGGGCTTGTGCTTGAGTGGTGGGTGGCAGGCAGGAAACCAGTGAGGCTTATGTGACCCTCTAGGATGTCCTGGGGAGGGGGGACAGTGGGCACATCAGCAGAAGCAGGAGGCCCCTGGGGACCTCAGCATGGGGCTGGCAGCCGAGACAGGGCACCCAGGTGAGCTGTGGGGCAGAGCCTGGGACAGCATCGGCAGAGGGCTGACGAGTGCCAAAGCCTGAGCCGCCTGGCATGCTGCTGAGTGTGGAGGCTGCTGGGTGGCTGGAGGGAAAGTGCTGGGTGGGCAGAGAGGCAGGCAGTGGGTACACATGCCTCAGTGGCTGTTGGCGGTCACATACCTGTTTTCATACAGGGACAAAGGCCCTAATGGTCGCTGGTGGTTTGATTTTGTTTTTCCTAAAGCTTCATTTTTCAATTTTTCTTCTTGCTCCAAGTGACCTAAAAGGACATCCCAGAAGTTTGTCCATAAGGGATCATCTGTCAGAATAACTTGAGCCCGCAGTGAAAGCACCTGGGTCTTGTCTTTCCTTGCCCTTCAAGAGGAACAGGGGAAGGGAGATGGTGTCCACGGCCTGCTCCGCGGGCAGCCCGTCACCGTGCTGCTCACTGGCCAGAGGAAACTCTTACATCGGGAATTAGTAACTTGGTTCTCTGGTAAACCCTGTACAGATCTGGAGGAATTTCGGAACTACTTGGAGAAGCGTTTTGACTTTGAGCAAGTCACTGTGAAGAAATTCAGGACTTGGGCTGAGCGGCGACAGTTCAACCGGGAAATGAAACGGAAACAGGCCGAATCCGAGAGGCCCATCCTGCCAGCCAATCAGAAGCTCATCACTCTTTCTGTACAAGATGCTCCCACAAAGAAAGGTGCATCGGGGCTTGGGTATTTCAACATTGGCAGACTGGTGACACTGTAGTTTTCCATTTGCTGTTCTCAGAATGTATGCTTAGCATGCGGGTTGTGCGTTTAATTCAGAGCTTACATTTGCCCTGCGAATGCAGGGGTCCACCACGCTCATGGTGGTGGGCCCCTAATTCAGTGGCTCGGTGCCTTGAGCAGGGCCAGGTCCTGTGCGCTGACTTGCAGTAGGTCCTCACGCAGTTGCTGAGACAGCCCTTCTCCTCACAGAGTTTGTCATAAACCCCAACGGGAAATCTGAGGTCTGCATCCTGCACGAGTACATGCAGCGTGTTCTCAAGGTCCGCCCCGTTTATAATTTCTTTGAATGTGGTAAGTTTGGTCTTCCCCATGTCAGTCCAAAAGAATCACGGACCTCTGTGGCCATGGCTGGGGAGGCGGGGGCTGACTAGCCCACTGTACTCCGGGAGAAACCAGAAGGGGGGCAAGAAGTGTGTCGTAGACTGGTGGTTCGCTTTCACACACCTGTGTCTGTCCGAGGGTGAATGCCTCCTCCCACCCTTTTGTCCATGTTCCCCTCTCCCTGCCTTCTGCCTGTCCCTTGGTCTGAGGAAGTGTGTCTTCAGGTGCCCCCAGGTGGATAGAGGGGCCTCGGGCCTGCACCTCCCACCGGCCGTCTTCTGTGGCCTTCTGCATCACAGCGTCATGAGAAGCCCTATGCTTCCTCTTGGAAGCCAGAGCGTAGGAGTCGCCTGTCATCAGTCTCGTTGTTTCTTTGCCTCCCTGCCCTGTGCGTCCCCATTTCCTCGCACACATTGGCCCCCATCCTGGGTGGCTCTGCCTCTGGCCTCCTGTTTGCCCCCCTCATGGTCCCTCGGTCCCCCGTTCCTCACAGCTTTCCTGGCAAGCTCTCTGCCTGCCTGTTGACTGGCCCTTGGCCCGTCTCCTCACTTCGGGGGCCCAGATCCCTGCCGTGCAGCAGCAGCCCCGACCCCCTGTCTGTTGGTGCAAGCACACTGTGTGCATGCAGGCTTTCAATGTCTTGGCAAGTGTGTTTTAAACCAGTCGTTTTAATTTTAAGAGAACCCAAGTGAGCCTTTTGGTGCCTCAGTGACCATTGATGGTGTGACCTATGGATCTGGAACTGCGAGCAGCAAAAAGCTGGCGAAGAACAAAGCTGGTAACGTGCCTGCTGCACGCCAGGGCCCGCATCTGCTCTTGGCAGCGGCCTCGGTGGGAGGGCTGTGGGTGGGGCAAATCGCGGCTGTATGAGTCACTTACTTTGATTTTAAAATCCTGTGCTCATTGGAAGAGATTCCAATAGAGGAAGTAAAACATGAGAAGTGAAAGCAGAGGTCTGTTCTCCACTAGTGGAAGCCGGGCTGGACTCTTGCCCTGGTCCTCGCCACTCAGGGCACTGTGTGCTGCAGACTGGTGGTCCGCTCTCACACACCTGTGCCCGTCTGAGGGTGAATGCCTCCTCCCACCCTTCTTTTCTCCATGTTCCCCATGTCCCACAGCGTATCTACACACGCTGAGCAAAATGTGGGCACATGCTAGTGGGTGAGACCCGGGCAGGCCTGTGTGCTGCGGTGCTGACGTTCGTGAGGACGGTTTCCTGAGCTGGGAAGACCCCAGATCTGGGACCGCCACTCATCGAATGCAGTGTGGCAGACTCGCCAGGGAAGCTTCAGTTTCCGGATTAAAATGCATGGCCACTGTGATCGCGCTCTTGCTGTTCACTTTCATGCCCAGCACCAGGAGTCACTGCATTCTTCTCTGGAGACTTGTGCCCCAGCCGCAGGGCACCTGGCGTCTCCCTGGGGGTGGACCGCGCTGCAGGGTGGGGGCTGGGCGTGCCCCAGGCCCTAGCCCACAGGTCTCTCTGAGGTTTCTACCATTGCCATGTTGTCTGCTCTGCCCTTCCCACAGTGTACGGTGTGTCAGTTTCATCACAGTCTGTCTGGGTGTTGGGGTTGGTTGAGTGTTTTTGCTTGTGTGACTCAGTTTCCCTTGGTGTAGCTCAGGACGGTTTCAGTGATGCATTACCGTGCTGCCCAGTGTGAGGCTGTGCTGGGCTCACACACTCCACCTGTTCTCCAGAAAGGCCTGCTGTCCATTTTAGAGGGATTTTGCCAAAAGACCTTCCAGCTTAACACGCTGGGTGTTCCAGAGAGGTCATGAAGCAGATGACTTGCAGAGAAGGGCCCAGTGTCGGGGCGGAAACATCCGGTGGCTGGGCCTGGCTGTGCTCCTCCCCATGTTCCTCTACCCAGACCCCAGCTCTTCTCTAGACTTCCACATTTGGTTGTCTTGCCAGCACTTACAGCCCTACAGCACCAGACTGCACACACCCCTTTTCCCTCCTCCAGCGGGGAGACGCTGCTGTGTTCATTCGGGCCCTCGTGTGAAGCAGTGAGCCGCCCTGTGCTCTGTCCTGCGGCTGCTCTCTCTCGAATGTCTGTCCATCTGGCTGCTGTTCTCTGTCACACGCACAGCAGCCCACTCACCCTCAGTCCTTACTGCTCAGGCCAGGCCCTGCCAAGCCATTTGCTGCCCAGCACCAGGCGATTCCCCTGCAGTGTAGAGCTCCTCCTGTCCCTGGCCTGTCAGAGTATCTCAGCAGGAGGGCACGGGGCTCCAGGGGCTCCCGACGCTGCATGCGGCCTGGCCCTGCCCACTGTCCCCTTTCCTCAGGCTGTGCTCCGTTCTCTGCTGTCCCTGCCGCTGAAGGGCTGCTGCTCCCCTTGAGTCGCAGGGACCCTGACCTTGAGGAGGAGCCCGTCTGCAGCTCCTCTCAAGCCGGGAAGTGGGCCTGTCCGACCCTCACCCTTGGGGGTTTTCTTTCCATAGCCCGAGCTACGCTGGAAATCCTCATCCCTGACTTTGTTAAACAGACCTCCGAGGAGAAGCCCAAAGACAGTGAGGAGCTCGAGGTGAGTCCTGTTGGTCTGGACTGCAGTCTCTTAGCGTCCCTTAGTGTCCCTTAGTGTCGGCTGTGCTCAAGGACTTAGTCATCCAAGACCCAGGTGATTTTGTTTGTTCATATTTCATAAAAGAGGACACTTGCTTCTCTTACACAAGGGGGCAAATGTCATTTTTATCAGGTGTTTGTCCCCTGTGTCCTGTCAGGGTGGTAAGAAGTCGTGTGTACACAATAAATGCATTCAGAAGCAAGTCAGCACTCGTAGATTCATGGTGGGAGTGAAACTTGGCGACAGGGTATACAAAAGTTAGATCCTTCTATCAACCATTTAAAACTACTTGTTAACCTTTTTTGTGTAAGTAAGAGTCTGTGGTTATCTGTAGCAAGGGCTTCTCAGACTCTGAGGAATACAGTCTTTTTTATAATAGTTTTATTAATACATATCTTATACACCATAAATTATACCCTTTTAAGCTCTGCAGCTTAGTGAATTTTTGTATTTCACAGTTGTAAAGCCATAACAGTGACGTAATTTTATCACTCCAAAAAGAAGTCATTTCCAATTCTCCTGTCCCTCTGCCCCTCAGCCTCTGGCAACCGCTGCTTTACTTTCTGCCTCTGGATTTGCCAGTTCTGGATATTTTGTGTCAGTGGAATCATACGACATTGGTCCTTTGTGACAGGCCCCTTTACCATAGCTGTGTTAGCTGGAGGTTTTATCAGGTTGAGGAAGTTTCCTTCTATTTACTTCTACTCTTAATTTGCTGAGAGTTTTTGTCAGGAAAGGATGTTAGATTTTATTAAATGTTTTTTCTTCTGTTGAGATGAGCATGTGATTTTTGACTTTTACTTTACTAATATGGTGGTTAATTACATTGACTTGTGGGTGTTAAACCAACCTTGCATTTCTGAGATAAATCCACTTGGTCATGGCATATAATCATTTTTCTCTGTGGCTGAATTGGTTTGCTGGTGTTTGTTTAATGATGTTGCAATTGTTTGAGGCATACTAGTCTGTTTTCTTGTAATGCCTTTGTCTACCGTAGGTATTGGGGTAATACTGGCCTCGTAGAATGAGTTGGAAAGTGTTCTTTCCTTTTCTATTGTATGAAATGGTTTGTAAAACTTTAGTATTAATTTTTTAAACATTTGATTGAATTCACCAGTGAAACCATCTTAGGAGGTTATTTAAGTCTGATTCAGTCTTTTTTGCTGTTACACATCTGTTCAGATTTTCTGTTCCTTTTTGAGCCAGTTTTGGGACTTTGTGTCTTGCTAGGAATTTTTCCATTTGACGAGGTTGTCTCAATTCATTGGCGTACAGTTCATAGTATTTACTTATAATCCTTTTCATTTCAGTAAGACGATGACCTGCTTTCACTGCTGATTTTAGCAGTTTGAATCTCTCTTTTTTCTCTTGGACAGTCCAACTTAAGTTTTGGCAATGTTGATCTTTTCAGGTATCCAACTCATGGTTTTCTTCATTTTTTCATGTTGGTTTTTTACTATTCCATTTATTTCTGCTCTAGCCTTTATTATTTCCTTTCTTCTGTTAGCCTTGGGTTTAGTTTATTCTTTTTTAGTGTCTTAAGGTTAAGGTTGGTATCTGAGATCTTCGTTTCAAGTATGTAGTTTACAGCTCTGAGTTTTCTTCTGTGTACTACTTTAACTGTATCCCATAAGCTTTAGTATGTTGTGTTTCTGTTTTCATTTATCTTGAAATATTTTCTGATTTCCCTTGTAATTCTGTAAGTCATTGCTTATTTTAGGAGTGTTCACTTTTCTTAATTTGTGAATTTCCCAAATTTCCTTGTTACTGATTTTTTTATTTAATTTCATTGTTGTTCAAAAACATAGGTTGTGTGATTTCAGTCAATCCTTTTAAATTTATTGGGGTTTGTTCTATGACCTAACGTGTTCTGTCCTGGACAGTGTTCTGTGTGCACCTGAAGAATGTAAGTGCTGCTGTTACTGGGCGAAGTGAACCAGACCCCTTTTAGGCCTTGTTGGTGGGCGGCATTTGTTGTCTTGTTAGCCTGGGGTCTTCTGCCCGCGTCTCCTGCCCATTATCAAGAGTGGGTATTGAAGTTTCCAACTCCTGCTGTCGAATGGTTTGCTTCTCCCTTCAGTTCTCTAGGTTTTGGCTTCATGTGTATTGGGCTGTTGTTAAGGGCGTGTCTGTGACACAGAAGTACACATCTTTGTGTTTGTCTTTGGTTTCTGGTGCAGAGATTCTAATATAATACAATGAATCAATACTTGTTTTTTGTCCCCCGTTCTTGAAATATTCCAGGCTGACAGAGGTGAAGGGAACATCTTCGGTTATTCTTCACACGCCCCTTTCATTCGCCCGAGTTCATGTTAATTAAGTGGGTGTGCCAGTTGCCAGGGGAACTGACCCCTGGGGTTAGAAGCTGAAGCTCTCAGTTCTCCCTTCCTCTGTCCTGCCCCCAGTGTCCAGGGAGGGGAGGGGTTACTGGAAACTGAGTTAACCACTGGCAGCCAGTTACCTGATCAGTCATACCTGTGTAGTAAAGACTCCATGAAAACCCCAACTGAAGGGGCTTCTGGGTTGGTGAATGCATTGAGGTGTGCTAGGGGTAGCATGCTGAGAGGGCATAGAAGCCCCGCACCCCCTCCCTTATATTGTGCCCTACGCATCTGTTGTATCTGGCTGGTCCTGAGTTACATCCTTCTGTAGTAAACCAGTGATCTGGGAAGTAAACTTTTTCTCAGTTCTGCAAGCTGTTCTAGCAAATCATTCAACCTAAGGAAGGGTTGCAGTAGCCTCTGCTGTATAGCTGCTTAGTGAGAAGCAGGGTGACAGCCAGACTTGGGATCAGTGTGAGAAGTGGCCACAGCAGTGTGGTGGGGCGGAGCCCATAGCCTGTGGGGTCTACTCCAACTCCTGGCAGTTAGCTCCAGAACTGCTGGGCTGGGAGTCCCACACAGGCGGTGTCAAAAGTGTTGAGAGAAGCAGTTTCTATTTGAATGTGTATCAAATATGTCACCTTGAGGAATGGGCCCTTCTGTCATTATAAAATATCCTTAATTTCCAGTAACGATTTTTGTCCCAGAGTCAATTTTATCTGATATAGTCACTCCTACTCTTAATCACTGTTCGCATCATGTGTCTTTCTGTCCTTGTAACGTATCTGTGTCTTTGAATCTAAACTCTGTCTCTTACAGGCAGCATATAGTTGAGTTTGGTTTTTACCCATTCTGTCAATCTTTGCATTTTGCTCAGAGGGCTTATTCAGTTTGAATTTAATGTAATTGGTAAAGTAGAAGTTATCGGTGCTGTTTTGCTATTTGTTTTATGTGTTTTTTTGTTTCTTATTTCCTCCATCACTGCCTTTGTAAAGTGTTACTTTCTAATGTACCATTTTAATTATCTTGCTTCTTTTATAATCATTGCTCTGTGTAGTTGTCTTTTAACTCAGGAGAGAAAAGAGTTATGAGGAAGTACATTTATATTGTCTCTGATTTACTGGTGGAGTCAGCGGTACGCCTACAGTGTCCTCGGTTTGTCGCATGGATTTGAGTCGTGGCCGATAGCATCCCTTCATTTCAGCCTGAAGACTCTTTTGTGTACCTTAGAGGGCAGGTCGACTAGCAGTGGATTCTCATAGTTTTTGTTTATCTGAAATACCTCCAGAAAAATCTCCATTTTTGAAGAATTCTTGACTGATAGTCTTGTTCTTAATAGTGGGAAATGTGCCTTCTGGCCTCTTAGGAATGCACGTCAGCCGTCACTCCTAACGGGTGCTCCACTGATAGTTGCTTCTCGAGGCTGTTGGGATCCTGTGCCTTCAGCAGAGATGTCTGGTGTAGGTTTCTTTGGTTTTCTTTTTGAAATTTGTTGAGTTTCTTTAATATGTAGATTAATGTTTTTTATCCTTGAGAAGTTTTAGCCATTATTTACCCAAATATTCTTCTTGCCCTTTTATTTCTCTCTCTCTTTCTGGGACTCCCATTATATATAAATTGGTAATTTCACGATAGCCCCACATGTCTATGAGGGTCTACTCTTTTTTCCTATTTTTTGTTGTTCTTCACACTGGATATTTTTGTTTGGCCTATCTTCAAGTTTGCTGATACTTCTGACTGCTTGAATCTGCTGCTGATTACTGCTAGTGAATTTCTCATAATCTAACTTACATTCTCTATTTGGTGAGTGTTGTTTTTTCATATATAGCAATATCATACTGATTATAGAGCAATAACAGTATTAACTCCTTTCGGGTTCCTGGACCCCATTCCATGTGTATCTGTGGGAGGGAGGGGTCTTCCCACACACAACACCAAGCAAGTCTCCAACGCCAGCAGGGAGTCCGAGGGACTCAACCCAATTCTGACGCCGTCTGCCCAGACCGGGCTACGGGCTCCGTCCTACAGGACTGCCCCCCACCGCCCACTCCAGACGCAGGTCCCAAGCCCCAGGCAGTTCTGCGCTTCTCTCCTACTGGCTGCAGACTGGAGGTTCCCACGACCTCCCCCTTAGGCTCCATTAATTTGCTAGGGCGGCTCACAGAGCTCAGGAAAACACTTAGTTTACCAGTTTAATAAAGGATACATGTTAACAGCCAGATGAAGAGATACACGGGGCGGGGTCCCGGATAAAGGGGCCTCTATCCTGGCAGAGGTTGGGGCCTGGCTCACAGCAGGTGAAGGGGTTCCGTTCCCGCAGCAGAGCAGCTCTCCCCAACTGAGCCGCGGATCCAAGGGAGCCATCAGCTCCTCCCAGGGGTTTGTGAGGCTTCTTTGCACAGTCATGATTGACTAAATCAATGGCCAATGGCTGACCCAGCCTCCAGCCCCGCCTCCCGGGGGGTCCAGAAGTCTCTGGTTAACATGACAAGGCTCTCGAGTCCCCTCTGAGACTGCGGTGTCTTCAGGAGCTGGGGGTGACGACCGGAGACGCCTGGGAAACGTGTGTGTGCCATCTGGGCGACCCCATACATGTTTGTTGTGACTCATTATTCCTCAGAGATGGTTTGTGTTGACTGC